GAATTGTCCTACACACATGAAATTCACACTGGTACCTCAGCACACATGTGGAAGCAGGTAGAATTTGTCACATCAGCTACAAATCTATATTTCTGGAAAAAAGCAGGGGAAGCAATTTTTGGCAAGGACCTGCCACAAAATGCATCCCCCTTGTTTTTAACCTAAGAATTGTCCTACACACATGAAATTCACACTGGTACCTCAGCACACATGTGGAAGCAGGTAGAAATTGAAACATCAGCTACAAATCTATATTTCTGGAAAAAAGCAGGGGAAGCAATTTTTGGCAAGGACCTGCCACAAAATGCATCCCCCTTGTTTTTAACCTAAGAATTGTCCTACACACATGAAATTCACACTGGTACCTCAGCACACATGTGGAAGCAGGTAGAAATTGAAACATCAGCTACAAATCTATATTTCTGGAAAAAAAGCAGGGGATGCAATTTTTGGCAAGGACCTGCCACAAAATGCATCCCCCTTGTTTTTAACCTAAGAATTGTCCTACACACATGAAATTCACACTGGTACCTCAGCACACATGTGGAAGCAGGTAGAATTTGAAACATCAGCTACAACTGTATATTTCTGGAAAAAAGCAGGGGATGCAATTTTTGGCAAGGACCTACCGTTTAGGAAATCAAGATTTACATCTTACATCCAACCTAAATGTAAACTTTTACCTTACATTTGCATTTCACCTTTTTGGGTTTGGAAAACAAAACCATTTGCAAACACAGTAATGTAGTTCTTTTGTGCTATTTACTTTATTCTTAGTGTATTATATATAAAAAAAAGTTTTACAGTTCAATCTAACAAGATTAAACAGGTTTGAACATTTTTGAAGTACCTTCGAAACACAACTTAATTTGGAACAGTGAAAAGCAAAAAATAATTTAAAGGAACTTAAATTAAATAATGTTTAAGTCGAACTATTTTCTTCAAACTTGTTTTTTTTTTTTAACAACAGTTGAAAACTAAAAGCACAGTGGACAGCAATACTCAGTGTCAGGTGGTGGGTTGTTGACACAGCCCTGGTGGTACCACCTGTTGCATCCGTCACAGGCAATCTGAAATGGACAAGATTCAAATAGGATTACTAATAGCATTGATACATGTTACAATTAGCATTTAATAACATGGATACATGATGTATGTGCGTCCGTGTATGATGTATGAGGTGTGGGTGAGAGAGTGTGTGTATATATATTTTGAAACACATTAGCTTTTGTTTAAATGTAAAGTCTGATGCTAGTTGAGACCAATAGCTGTTTGTAAAAGCCCATGGATAAGAAACTTTATTTCTATTTCAAGGTATCTTGCAGGCATTCTTGGTCAGTATAGGGGAAGCTGGTTTTATGTAATCTTCTATTACACATAAAGCTCAAAAGAAGGTTAGAAATTTAATTTGATTCTGCTTAATTTGATTTATATAACTCCCTTTAACCTCCAGTAGAACCAGAACTAGGCTCAGTATGAACGGTCATCTGCCTCGACCGACTGAGGGTTAGAGAAGACAGAGCAGAGACACAACGAGAGAGACAAACAAGCACAGAAGCGCACATTGATCCAGGAGTACTTTATGTTTTATATGGTGTTAGTGGATGATCTGCTTCCCGTCAATTATGTCACAGCTAAACAAACATCAAACCAGGTGTACCCACTATAAAGAGAAAAAAGACAGAGAAATAAAAGAGCAATGTTTAATTAAGCTTAAACTGTTGTTAATTCAGAAAGGTCTACTGGGGCAAAACAGTCCAAACAATAATCAGCTTTAAAGATTTCTCCACTAGTTCCCAAACGTAAGGCTACTCCATTGATTTATTTCTTTCATTACTGTACAAACTGATTAATCCAGCTGTGTTTGGCTATTGTTATTGTGGTTGCTGAGGCCACACACACCTGAATTAAACAGTTAGTCCTGTAACAAAAGACGGGCAATAACATTGCTGCCATCTGATGGCCATTTCTGTCTTAATGAGGAAATTAAAAGGGGGAGTGAATCTTTACAGCTTAATTCAGCATTGTCATATAAGGATCTACTGTAAGGAAACCTTGTTAGGTGGGCGAAGAAATCAAAGACTATTTTAAAAAATTGTCTGATAGGACAGGGCTGTGAGGAAATACTAATAATTATTCACAATCAATGTCATAACCCAGTACAAGGTACAAAGTATGCAGGTAGTAGTGTCAGTTTATTCACAACAGGAGAAAAACTAATGGACTCTGGGAATGGTTTTAAAGGAAACTTTAATTTTATCAAATTCAGTACCAACATTATTGTTTTGATTCCTCACTATAATAATCTTGTCCGTGTTTACACTAAATCAGGTCTGAGAACTGATCTAAACAAAAGAGGGTCGTTGTAGTTATTAATTGGCCGGGTACAAATGAAGAAATCAGTATGAAAGATGTTTACCTAGTCCTCCTCATGCTTTAGTTCTGGGAATGGTGAAATGTAAAAAATTAGAGGGAGTTCACTCATTTATACTAACCTATTCCTCTCACAGCAATGTTTCTGTGAGAAAGAATAAATCCATATGATTGTCCGTAATAAATTGATTAACCAAAATAGTCTGTGAAGTTGTACTATGTTGATGTGTATTAAAAGTCTTATATGTAAAAAGTGTTGATCTGTCGACACTAAATGTTACTGTACAAAAAAAATTGATTCAAACTGCAAATGGTTGCATCATAATGTATTAAGAATTTGCTTAATTTAGCTAATTAAACTCCTTTGGAATTAATTTTGTATGTTTACAGCAATTTCTTTAATTCCATTTTAACCCATTAAATGTACTTACCCACAGAGGATCATCAGTGTCTGCACTCCCACAGTGACTGCACAGGTTGTCCAGTGATTCTACATCAAAAGAAAAAAAGGTTTTACTAATTTTCAGGAGCATGGTAACACTGCATGGCTGCTCCTCTTTTTCAATTGTTTTTTGTCTCTTGGTTGATAAGAAGCTGAACTCATAGTCCATCCATTCCTTACTGACTGTGCGTGATTCCGAGCTCTGCAGTTCTTGTCTTTTATCTTTCCATACTAAGCATGCTCTGGTTTCTGGCCTATCTTGTATTAGAAAACCTCGCTTTATAGGTTCTTTTTGTTACAGCCAACATTGTGTTCCATACTTTTATTGGATTGTAAACGTTTTTTATTTAAATTACAAAAGATGAAACAGAAATGACAAAGAGTAATGCCATTTATAGGATTTTGATTATGTTTACACACATATGTGTGTCTGTCAGATCAACGTTGTATCTTTCTCTTGCGTAATTCTTTTCAAAGACAATTGTTTTTTGATGGATTTTTAAACATAATCCTTAACCTGTCAGTAAATCATGCCTTTCTTCTCTTTACCTCCCCATGTCTATTTTGCATTTTATACCTCAATTTAGCTTTCCTAGCAAACTATCAGAGCTTCTACAACAGTCTTTCGATTATTGATGTAAACTCACATGTTTATGTATCATTTAATTTCTCAACCAAAAGTTTCAAAACAGCAACTGTCTTATAAGTTAATCAAAATATGACTTTGTTAGAAAAATATATTATTCATTGTAGGTGCCATCTCCAAATTCATACTTTGTTATGTATTATCAAAAATTAAGCTGCTGTAGTACAATTTTTTGTTTTGGAGTAGAAAAGGCATACAATACTCAGTCTGTGAATCAAAGTAAAAAAAAAACATATTTCATAATACTACCGGATTGATGCAGACAGGTTGTGGCAATGTCAACTCTCAAGGCGTTGATAGCGTCTAAGGTAGTTGAAAAACTAAGATCTTTTCCTTCCAATAAGCACTCTGCAAACTGCAAAAAAAAAACAACACAAAACATAATCAATACAAATAGCAATTCAGAGTAACCAGTTAACCTAAACAGTCATGTTTTGTGGACTGTGGAAGGAAGCAAGAGTAGGCTACCTTGAGAGAACAAATGGATGCACATTCATAAAATTTAAACTCAGAAATGATGAGCCCAGGACATTCTAACTGCAAGGCAACAGTGATACCACATGTGTAAAGTGAAATAAAATCAACATACATTTAATAAGAATGTGATATGATTGATGTTATTACTGCTAATTATTATTTTGTGAGCTGCCATATTAAATGATGCCTAGCATTTAATACAGCTGCTTTGGATGGAAACTTTAGGAAAAAGATTATAAAGAAAGAATTACCCTCAAAATTTGTACATTAGTAAACAAATGACCAAAAACAACTGTAACACAGTACAAATAAATAGTTTGCAATGTAACAGTCAGCCAGGTTGTCAAATTAAAATGTAACGATTGATTTGGACAAAGTAATCTAGAATAGTATAAAACAGTAACATTTTATTGTTAGGTACTTTTGCGATTCAGTTGGAGCTTTATGCCCATGTTTGTTTATCAAAATAGAGTAATTACTTTCCTTAAGACCCAAATTTAACTGATCCAAGTAAATTCTAAATTTCGTTTTCCAACAGTACTTACTTTCAGCGCAAACACACCACAGGAAACACTGTCAGGTTGGATAGCATGTGGAACAGTGTTGCATGTCCATCTCGACACCTTTAGTCCTTTCTGCCTCATGAAAGCTCTTGTGTAGATAAAATGATAAACATTTTCAATAACAAGATCTCTCAAGTTCTTATCAGAAACATGAATGAGTGTCCTGTTTCAAACCTTGTTGCTACCAAGCACCTCTTCATTTTTCCTGGGGATTCTCCTAATGGGTCAAGGAACACTGTTGTTTTATCCATGGGATAAATAACCTTGGGGTTTAAACATAAAGCCCACCTCATTACTTTGATTTTTAATTCATAAGCCAGTAAACTGTTATTTCAAATTAAATCCCGTAATATCACATTCAAATAAACTCTATTCGATCTGTAACAATTTCCTTTTTCAATATATGAGTGGCAACTCTATTTCCAGTCACATCTCTTCAATACTTTAAATTTGTCAGTATGATAAATTGTGAATTTTGAAATTTTGCATTCCTACCACTAGCATCCAGTGGTGACTTTCATTTGCAATCCCCAGAATCATTGCATATTTTTCTGGATCAATCTGAAAAAATAAAAATAATAATAAACATATATATATATATATATATATATATACACATATACATACACATATACACACATATATACATATATTAGTGCTGTCAATCGATTAAATTTTTTTAATCGCGATTAATCGCATCAATGCCTAAGTTAACTCGCGATTAAACGCATTTTAATCACACATTTTTTTTCTGATTGAAAATCATTTAAATACTCTCAATGACATACAAAAAATACATACAGGCTAGGTTTGTGCCAATGTTCTTTTTTTAAATGAAAACAGGTCACAGACACTGATTTATGCCATAGAAACATATGGCAAGAAGATGGGGGGGCATGTAGCAAAAAATAACAAATATGTAGCCAAAAAAAAGGCCCTGAAAACACGCTGATGTAAAAGACAGTCAATACAGTCTTTTGAACAAAGACAAGCATTTTACCCTACTGCTATAAAATGTAGTAGAGTTAACATTAGATGTTAATTAACCAAGATAATAATGAACAATTTTCAATCAATACATCAAAATCAATAGATTGACATCACTAGATGGAGGTAGTCTATGCTCTAGAAAGTTACTTTTCAGCCTCTTAACAAAAATGAGAACACACACACACCCACACACACACACACACACACACACACACACACACACACACACACAATACTGACCTGTGGCGTACACAGACAGCAAGAGTGCCGTAGCAGATTCCATTTCACCTCAGTAATCTGTTTTCTCAGCGTATTTCAGGTTGCTACTAGGCACCAGACACTCAACTTGTTTGTTGGTGGTGGGGCTTAAAGAAAAGGCACTAGCGCCACCCAGTGTACGAGCGTCTTTTTCCCTTGAGGAGCTCCGCTCTCGAAGCCTATGGAAAATGCATAGACTGGGGGAAAATAGCCCCGCCTTCCCGCAGGCTGCAGCGGGATGTACTTGGAAAATTGTACCATAAAACCACATAGCGTTAATCTCACGTTAAAAAAATTATCACCATTAAAATGGCCTCGCGTTAACGCGATAATAACGCAATAATTTTGACAGCACTAATATATATATATATATATATATATATATATATATATATATATATATATATATATATATATATATATAGTAAATTGACCCCATCCGTAACACACACTGACTCTGTTATACAAACCTTTAATCTGGATTTTTGATGTTTCCAAATACGCGTCATTTCAAAACTGTCTATCAGGGCTGCTTGTTCTTGGTGCTTCAGGTTAAATCGTTGGACCATAACATGTAAATAGGCGTTTATCACCTGGAAAGATAGATATGATATTGTAACACAATTTAAATTTCTAGTTATTTTTCCCTATGACTTTTGGTTTCATAATTACTTTATGAAGTTTGAACAACTTTAACATGCACAATAGAAATGCTGTTATTTTCATACCTCAAATAATGGTAAAACCTGTTGTTTTATCAATTATACACACCCACATAATCTCTAATCAATGCTTGTTTTGATGTATGATTTGTCAGACATCAAAACAACTTTAACTTTCCAAAAACAAATCTTTAAATCTTTAACATGTCATACATTCCTTCTGTTTCCAGCTGCAGAAAATTCATTATTTTTATTTTCTTGCATCTGTGTCTATCGAACAGTATTCTTAACACCACCCCCCAACATGCGATTTACAATTTCTATTATTTTTCACATATAATTTATTACCTCACTCTCCAGCTCTTTACCAGGACGGATTCTATCAAAATCCCAACAAAACAACTTGTATGGGCCAATCTTTGACAGGAGGATGTGAGTTTGCTTTGTTTTTCCACTCCAAACCTTTCCTAAAACTGGAAAAGATGTGGAAGATTAGTGTACTGATATAACACACATTTCTATCTTGTTTATTTATCTAATCCAACATAAACAATGTAAAACACACTTATAAGATGTCAGTTAAGATGTAATTGTTAAATAAAAATAGAAATAGGACCTTTTGGGAAACTCTCCAATGAGGTTGTGGCAGCTATGCAGGATGCTGAGGGTGTTGTAGGAGATGAGGGAGGAGATGAAGCAGGAGTAACAAGGGTCGATGCAGATGGCATTGGAGGAGATGAGGGAGGAGGAGATGAGGCAGGAGCAACTAGGGGGGATTCAGATGGCGTTGGACGAGATGAGGGAGGAGGAGATGAGGGAGGAGATGAGGCAGGAGCAACTAGGGTGGATGCAGATGGCATTGGAGGAGATGAGGGAGGAGGAGATGAGGCAGGAGCAACTAGGGGGGATTCAGATGGCGTTGGACGAGATGAGGGAGGAGGAGATGAGGGAGGAGATGAGGCAGGAGCAACTAGGGTGGATGCAGATGGCATTGGAGGAGATGAGGGAGGAGGAGATGAGGCAGGAGCAACTAGGGGGGATTCAGATGGCGTTGGACGAGATGAGGGAGGAGGAGATGAGGGAGGAGATGAGGCAGGAGCAACTAGGGTGGATGCAGATGGCGTTGGAGGAGATGAGGGAGGAGGAGATGAGGGAGGAGATGAGGCAGGAGCAACTAGGGTGGATGCAGATGGCATTGGAGGAGATGAGGGAGGAGGAGATGAGGGAGGAGATAAGGCAGGAGCAACTAGGGTGGATGCAGATGGCATTGGAGGAGATGAGGGAGGAGATAAGGCAGGAGCAACTAGGGTGGATGCAGATGGCGTTGGAGGAGATGAGGGAGGAGGAGATGAGGGAGGAGATGAGGCAGGAGCAACTAGGGTGGATGCAGATGGCGTTGGAGGAGATGAGGGAGGAGGAGATGAGGGAGGAGATGAGGCAGGAGCAACTAGGGTGGATTCAGATGGCGTTGGACGAGATGAGGGAGGAGGAGATGAGGCAGGAGCAACAAGGGTGGATGATGAGGGTGTTTGAGGCAAGGAGGCAGTTGTTAATTTATGAGGAATCCGTGGTTGTTGTGGCACAAAATGTTTGAGGTGGTCAGCACTGACATTTTTAAAAAATGATCCATCCTCCCCAAGAAGGTCGACACTTTTTCCCTGGATTGCAGTGATGGTAAAAGGCCCGAGAAAGTTGGGTTCAAGCTTTCCACCTTTACGCTGCTGACTCCTCACGTTTTGCCTCAAGACTTTCTGCCCAACAACAAAGCTTACTTTGCGTCTTGATGCACTTAGTCTTTTTTTGGTCTTTTCCTGGGATCTGGAGACATTTTCCTCAATGATTGTTTTCAATTCATCAAGCAGCTTGATGCCCTGGCTCACAGTTTCCTCCTCAATCACTTCTTCAACACTGCTGCTTATCTTTACAAAGAGTAAACAGTTCAGAGTTTGATAACATATGGGCAATACATACGCATTTCCACTCTTAAATAATCTACTGTTTTTAGTGTTGCAAACCTGGTATTTTTCTGGAATTTCTATCGGATAGCGTGCTTCTCTCCCAAACATTAAAAAGTATGGCGAAAACTTGGTGGTTATCTGCTTTTTTGTCCGAAGCCCAAACATGACTGCATCCAAATAGTCGTCCCAAGTCTCCGGTTTGGTCCCCACAAGTTTGCACAAAGACCTAAGAGAGGCAAGGTAATCAAGATCATATGAAGTAAGTTACCTTGTGAAATAATTGCTGTATTTGCTTGAAGTTTTGAAATAAATCTTTTCAACATTACCTTTGGATTGTGCCATTCATTTTTTCCACAAGACCATTTGTCTGGGGATGGTAGGGTGCACACAGACTGCGTTTTATACCCAGTCTCTCACATACGTTTTTGTTTATCTGTTTCAACCATAGGTAGTGTGTGAGTTGCTTATCTGCATCTAATACTTTGATAATTCATGAAGTGTTAATAAAAAAAGAATTTACCGCATTCACAAACTCTGTCCCTTGGTCTGTTAATATGCGTTTGGGCGCCTCGAACTGGTGAACAAATTTAAGAATTTGCTTGGTGACCTCCTCAGCAGTTTTAGATTTGATTGGGTAAGCCTGTGTCCACTTTGTGTAATAATCAATCATTACACAGATGTACTTGTTTCCACAGGCTGTTTCTTTTAGCTGTCCAATCAGGTCCATCCCTACAAGCTCAAACGGCTGTGTAACCTGAAATAAATGAGGAAAAAGTACAAAATAACCACTTTGCTGTGAAAGTGTTGCAAAATCATAACAACATATATAATATTTCCAATCATTTTGATGCAAAAAATGTTTGACAAAGACATTTGGAAGCAACATAGTTTATAAAAGCAGTATAAAAGACATTCCAAAGACATGGATAATATTTGGTATCTCTATTAAGTATAATGATATGAAGACAACAATAAGTCTCGGAACATCAAAGAAATACAGTTAAAACTAATACCTTTATTGGAGTGTGCTTTACAGCTTCCTTTATGTTCTGCTGAGCAGACTGGCAGTGAGCACATTCAGATACCTGTAGAAGTTGGTAAAGAGACAAAACATGATTTGTTTATGATACAGTTGCGTCACCTTTCTGTTTTGACTTTTTTTTTACTATTTAGAAGTGTCATCATTGCTTTTATTTCGGGGGTTTACTAAGTTATTTTGTTCAAAAAGGTAAAAAAAAAAAAAGTAAAGTAAAATTTGAATTGTAATAATGTGATTTCTAACACATTTTGCCACTTCATGACAGCAATCAAGATATAAGATATATGTAATTGTGTTCATAGCCAGTTTGTTTATGTGCATACCCACATTGTAACAGAGATATAGATTTAGAGGCACGTAACTTTTGATAGGTGTATACATGTAAGCAGGTATAAGCATTTTTACCCATTGACTGATATCTTTGGTCATCCCAGGCCAATAATAGCGTTGCGAAATGGCATCCCTCGTTTTTTTTTGGCCATTGTGACTTCCTGTGGGACTTGCATGCAGGTTGATGAAGATGGCATTTGCTTCGTCAGCACCATTGACCACAATAGTTTTTTGTTTTTTTTCTAGACCTCTCATATAAAACAAAGATTCTCCTAGAAAACAATTAAAAAAGGATAAATATAATCACATGGCAACAATTTGATATAGGAATTAGCATAGCTGTTATTGAGTTAATCCAAGGAAATGATCATACCAGAGATGAGCATGACTAGGGCAATATTTACACGCATGCACAAAAATTATCTTCCTTATAATAAGCAGTTTAGAATAGCACACATAACCATTTTTATGTGACACTGTAATTTCCTTCAATTTCTGTATGTAATTTTAGATAAAAAAATTCTATAGTTTATTATGCATACCATAGTGTTACATTATTGACAGCCAGTTCTTCTGTTCCAGTATTATTTCTCAACATTTTACATAATGATTTGGAGCAATGGGAAAAATACTTGACTTTTCGTAACTATGATTACATTTTCACTGACGCACGGGGTAAAATTTGTATCTCATTATCTGCAAATCCATCTAGACGCTCAGCAGTGTCATACCATTGCTTGGTCATAGCCTGAGCTTTTACCTACTTCCACATAATGAATTTTAATGCTTAGGGTAATCCTCCAATGATCTGCTAGTTGTAGGGAAAATGCGCTCCATTTTACAATTAATCAATTCTGAGCGGGCAATAATGTTTTATTGCCACCTCAACAGTTGCAGTTATCTGCCCTTTTCGCATATTAGCTCTCCTTTTTATTTATTCATTTATTTATTCATTTGCTCAGATGTTGCTTTGAATTACGCACCGCACGTTATTGGAGCACTGTTAAATTTTATTTTCTTAGGCGCGGGGGTCGGACCTGAAATTCTCGATTATACAACATAGTTTGTTACAAATATATTAAGAACAAACAATTTTAATCTAACATCTTAGTCCATTCTACTTCTCAATATCTTAAAAGTTATGTGACGCCACTATCTGACGATGCGTGCGGGGGGCGGCTCACCTTCGACGTGGTAATTTGATGCCTTTCGGCGAATTTCTGTCTTTTCGCGCTTTGACAAGCCACTTTGATAGGATTTATGAACCTTGTATTCATAAATCTCTTTAAAAAGCTGGGGATCCATTCTGTAGCGATTAGTCAAGGCCAATAACAGTATAATAAACCATACAGCCATCCAACCAATTACCTAAATATGCACCAATTTAGCCACACCTACTCTGTAGTTATTTTTCTTTAAAGACAAATAAAGTTACGTAAATGAAAGAAGGAGCAAATAAATTCTACATAAATAAATAAATGTGTAACCTTCTTCATATTGACAAGTATTAGTTACATGTAAAACTAGATATCCCAAACAAAATTAGAATTAGGTTAAATTGTGTAATGCAGCTCACACAATTGGAATCAGTCCTGTTTAATACATTGCTATTTAGCAACGGTATAGTTGCTTTCCTGTCCGTCATTGTTAAGATTATAATAACTAATATTCTTACTGATATTTAGATAAATAGTTATTTAAAGCATTCTTGGTAATGTTTTGCATTTTGTGTCTTTAATTATATTAATAATTTTGCATTAAAATGTATTTGTACATGGTGAATTTTACCAATATTGTTGTTACTTTGTTAACATTGAAAACGGAGAAGCTATAGAAGAAAACAATGGTATGTAAAAAACATTTTTCTTTTTAATCAGATGGATGCTGGTGCTAACTTTTAACAAAATCTCTTTCAAAGTATGTTGGTTAAAGGTGTTAATGTTGCTTAGCCAAAATGTCTGCTTAACTTACCATTTCTTCCATTTTTCACCCTTCACCTTGGAGGAAGTTTTTGGGGCAAATAAAACATAAAAAAATACAGAAATATAGATTTGTAGCTGATGTTTCAATTTCTACCTGCTTCCACATGTGTGCTGAGGTACCAGTGTGAATTTCATGTATGTGGGACAATCTTTAAGTTAAAAACAAGGGGGATGCATTTTTTGGCAGGTCCTTGCCAAAAATTGCATCCCCTGCTTTTTTCCAGAAATATACAGTTGTAGCTGATGTTTCAATTTCTACCTGCTTCCACATGTGTGCTGAGGTACCAGTGTGAGTTTCATGTGTGTAGGACAATTCTTAGGTTAAAAACAAGGGGGGTGCATTTTTTGGCAGGTCCTTGCCAAAAATGGCATCCCCTGCTTTTTTCCAGAAATATACAGTTGTAGCTGATGTTTCAATTTCTACCTGCTTCCACATGTGTGCTGAGGTACCAGTGTGAATTTCATGTATGTGGGACAATCTTTAAGTTAAAAACAAGGGGGATGCATTTTTTGGCAGGTCCTTGGCAAAAATTGCATCCCCTGCTTTTTTCCAGAAATATAGATTTGTAGCTGATGTGACAAATTCTACCTGCTTCCACGTGTGTGCTGAGGTACTAGTGTGAATTTCATGTGTGTAGGACAATTCTTAGGTTAAAAACAAGGGGGATGCATTTTGTGGCAGGTCCTTGCCAAAAACTGCATCCCCTGCTATCTCAGAGGAGTTGACACTTGTACGTCTGTATTCCTGTATATTCATCAGTAATTAAGTACAAGGATCAGCAAATGCAAATTCTGCCCTGTAAAACAATGACAGTGCAATTGTTGCTTCATATGATCTGAAGCCCCATTTGGAGCTTTTAAACAGTATTTTGAAAAACCTTGATAAATTGCTGCTGTAATATTATAGATTTTTTAGAATAAAAATCTAGCAGATGTGCATAAACAAACAAACAAAAAAAATACCATACAGTTCAGTAAAAATACAGTTCTGTTTTATGCCTCATTCTTGTAAGTTTAAAATGTTCCAATGCTCCTGAATGCACCATAGCTTTCTGACGCGCAGCGAACGCATCTCACTGGTCTGTGAACGCTGTGCTATGTAGATGCGCGTTTGATTTTCCACTTAAGAGAAAGCTTTGCAAACTCAAAACTCACGTCGGCTGTCACGGTTTAGTGTTGTGTGTAAATAGCAAGAGACCACAACAAATAAATCAGCCGTACCATGGTCAAAATCTTTGGATTTAATGTTGTTCAAAAAATCTGTACTTTTGTAAATTAATCTGCCAAATAACCACAACTTTTTTCCCACGAGAGGTATTTTTAAACGTTTTTATATCATTAATATAAGAACCTAAGCTCCATTGAACATATTTTAATCCGTTTTCCTCGTCGATATGCAGTTCAACAGAGCGAGGCGCGCTCCCGCGACTGGGGATGCATTTTTCGGCAGGCATGCACTTTTGGGCATAACACCGGCCCCAACTGGTTCCAAGTTATTTCTATTCAAACCTTTTTATTCACTTTCTTCAATTTAATATCATGTTTGATCAACGTTGCAGCTGAAAACTAGCTGTTCTAGACAGGGTTCAACAGGAGCCAGTGGCCCTGTCAGAGGCGGTTCTACACCAAGGGGGCCAGCGTGTTTTAATGGGGGCCCAGAAAAGCATGCTATGAAAAACAGGGCAAGGGATTCAAAAATATCAAGAGAGCTGCATGACATGAAATGTATATTCAAGTAGGTTTAATTAAAATTCTATATCTTATTAGGTCAATATACATTCAGAATTTAGGAATTTTACATATATTTAATTTAAGTTAAAATTCCCATTTTCTGTAAAATCTGAATTAGGACTGAATAAAAACTGATAAATTCAGATGTACAGAATTTGATAAATTATTTTTGTTTAAAAAAAAAACCTTAAGCAGATGAAAACTTGGATCCTATCTCAATACCACTGAAGCTATCACCTGTTGTTTTTAAATAATTAGTAAAACAGAATTTGTAAAGGAAAAAAAATGAAATAGATCCAAAGGACCTATGAGTACCTATGTCTGTTCCAGCGCAGATCATGATTAGAATTTCTTTGAGTATTATGTCTTCAGGACAGGGGCTATAATAGGGGCCAGGACATGATCTACAGGGGCACTGGCCCCTGTCTAGAATCGCCCATGGGCCCTGTTGATCTGGACCGGTCCCTGTTATGGCCCCTTTACCACGGGCAGTTCTAGACAGGGGCCAAAGTTCTGTTCTCAGAAGCCTTTGTGAAAACATTAGAGGAAGAAACACAATAAAATGTGCCCAACCTTAAAGCAGAGTTAGTTTTCTAAATTAAGCTTTTGACTTTCCATGCAGTACTGGTCCACCCTTCAGCTGCAGATGGAGAACAGAACAGCTGTACCTCTCGTCTACTAAGACATGGCCACCTAACCTGACATGCTTTACATAGAGATCATTAATCATAAAGCAACTGGTAACTCTGGAGGACCAGCAGAGATCCATAGCTCAGGTGGGAGGATTTATTGACAGGGCAACTTATAAAGTTTACAAATCTGAGAACATCATTACTGAAAGGTTGCAGCCAGCCCTTTAAAAGATACTTCTTTGGTCAAATCAAGCTGAACTCTTTGGCTTATAGGAATTATAACAGAATTATTGACAGATTTTATTGCCTTGATACTGGCCATGAAAAACAAACTTTATTCAGAATCAATTATTGTAATAATCACCAACTAATTTAGCAATCGATTAATCCTAACTCGAAGAGAGTCTAAAACATGCTTTTAGCTGACAAAGCAACCCACTTAGATCTGTAATTATACCATTACTGTACAAAAAAAAACATATAAACATTTTACATTTAAGATAACAAAAATTATCAATACATTAAACAATTAGCAAAATGATCATTAACTGCAGCCATAGAAGTGAGCAGAAATGCTGCCACAGGCTCCTTTAATAAGTTTCTCCTCACACTACTGCCCTCTAGCGGTCAATGCTGGACAAACAATGTCAAAGTTCCTGATCATATTCTACATATTTAATTTTTTTCAACAGCATATTTTTATTTAATTGCCAACCGAATATTATACTTTCTATATCAGTGCTGAATACATTTAAAGCTCCCTTTATTAGCCAGAAAATAAAGCATAACTTTTTTTTTCAATGGAGCTCTTCTTTTTTCCTATGTTCTTCCCCGACTCTTTCTTTTCTCCTTTTTTATGTTTTATTATCCAAAGTAATTCTTTTAAAATAAATGTACCCACAGCTGATAAAACTGAATAAGCTAAAATAGAATAAAAACAGAAATGCAGATGCGACCAATTGTTGATGGAAAACAGACACAACTCAGAGGATGGATGGATGGATGGATGGATGGATGGATGGATGGATGGATGGATGGATGGATGGATGGATGGATGGATGGATGGATGGATGGATATGAGAGAAGAAAATTCTTTGAAAGGGAAAAAAAATCTCTGATTTGATTTTTATCAAAAAGAAAATGAATGTGCACAAATAAGGAATAGTTGCATTAACCATACATGTAAACATAGTTTTATGGGGCCCTGGGCAGCTGCCAAGTATTACCTAATGATAAATCCCCCATTAGTTAATTGCAATATGAACTAAGAAACAAAATAAAGTTAAAAAGAAAGAAAAAGAAAAATAATCAATAACATTTCTATATAATTTAAATTGAATTTTTATTTTTTTTATTTTTATTTTTTTTTACAAATAAAAAGATATAAACAGATTAATAAACTAATAGCAATAATTGCAGCTGGTGCTCTCTGGTCTCCATACATCATTGAAGGAAGCTTAAAATATTCAACATTTCATGATAATTCATTTTTTTAGATAAAAAAAATCTGATTAGATTTTTCTAAGCATAACAACACTTTAACGTGAATTCAATTATTTTCTATTAACATTGCTCCAATGTGTGAGTTAGAAATAAAATAAATCAACATAAAATGCTATGTTGTTTGGCATTTCAACCAGCAGGGGGCGGTGTTTATCCATAACGGCTCATCAGATCACAGCAGATGCTCTCCTGTGTTTGCAGGGCAGCTCTCTAACAGGGGACCATCTTTGACTCAGGGGGTCTTGGAGCCAGGAGATGCTGGTTCTCTGCGAAGTCCCTGTTGGGCCCTGGACTGATCCCCTGCTTCAGGGGCTGTGTTTATAATTTGGGAGTGGGTTACATCTCCCATAGTGAAACACTGAAAAAAGTAAGAAAAATGCTAACTAACTCACATAACCCAAGTTCTTTGATAACAGAGTGAAGTGTTTCACCTGCACTGTCCTTCTTGCAAAGATGGTAGAATGATTGTAGGAGGACCTTGCCAACTGTACCAATATCAGGGTGTGGGGCCTAGGTGTAGCATTGGAACAGTCGACTTGTCTGTCAGGGACAGACTTTGTGCATGTTGAGCTTCCTTAGTTGGTCTTACATAGGCGATTGCCATAGTGAAACACTAAACAAAGTTAGAAAAATAACTAAGTTATTAAGTTATTAAACTTATTAACTAAGTAATAAGTTTGTATATATTGAGAATATTAAAATGTAACTCTGGAGGAGCTGTAAAGACCTACAGCTGACGTTAGGAGCATCTCTGGACAGGAACCTTTGGACATACACCTTGGAGAAAGGTGCATATATATATATATATATATATATAGGTAGGTAGGACATGTTACTATCATATCTGAATGAGAAGAACACATAATTTGAACCACACCTGTCATCAAATAGTTAGCCAATCAGGTGACCTTTACCAAAAAATGTGAGTGACATCACGTTGCCATGCAATACTTTCAGCTTCATTACCTTGAAAAAGATTTTTATGGTGAGGGATTTTTATTTTAAGTAAGGTGAAATGAACAGTGTCAAACCTAAAATACTCGTTTATAATTGGAGCAACAGAAAATTTGAATTTACCTGATTGACAGGGATATTTAATTTCTTTCATTTCAGAGCTGCAGCAGCTCTCTGGTCAAAGGATAAACTGTTGCTCTGTTTTTTGCTCTGATCTTTTTTTTTCTGGTTCCCCATGAAAAAATTAGTGCCCCCTCCCTCACCCCCTCGGTGGATTTGTTAGTTATTGTGATTTTGGGTCTTCATTCTCCATGTGCCTGGAAAGCATTTGTCAAGTGTCAAGCAGATGTGAGAGAGCTTCGTAGCAGGATGATGTGAATCTCAACTACCCCATGACCTCACCTCGTCCAGCAGGAGAAGGAGCGTCTCTGGACTCCTCCCGGCTCTTCCTCTATAAAACCCAAGCCGTCACTGCAGCTCACCGAGGTTTGCTTACTTCCAACCGAGGGGACTTCACCCTGGTGCCTCCATCACTATTGGCCTTTCCAAAACTCCCCAAACATGGCTCCTTTTGAGAAATCCATGGAGATGATGCCCTTCAAGCAGAGGAAATGCCTCGGTGAGACTTTCTGACATCTGCTCCTCTGGTCTGTTTCCTCCATCTCTGCCTTTACTGCTTAGATGATGCTTTAAATAAAATCCTTCCTTGTTTGTTTTCAGCAACGAGAAAAGATGAGGTGTGCAATATTCGCTCTAAATTCCCCAACAAATTGCCTGTAAGTTTTACATTTTCTTCATATTTCTAATATAAATTCATGCTGATTGGGTTTTGTTTATAACTAATAGTAATTTCTAACTGCTGTTTCTTTGCAATCAGGTGATTGTTGAGCGTTACGTCAGGGAGAAGAACCTCCCTCTGCTGGACAAAACCAAGTTTTTAGTTCCCTTTGAGCTTACTTTGAGTCAGTTCCTCTGTCTTCTCAGGTAAACCTCCTCCTCTCCTCTCAGACGCCTTCAGCAACTGGCCCCTCTGACTTCTGACCTTTTTGTTTCTCTCCTCAGGAATAAGATTGCTCTGGACCAGACACAGACTCTGTTCCTCCTGGTTGGGGGGAAGAGCATGTCCTGCATGTCCTCCAGCATGGGGGAGATCTATTCCCACTTCAGAGATTCTGACGGCTTCCTGTACATCACCTACGCATCACAGGAAGTGTTTGGAGCTCCTCAGTCTGCAGACAAGCCGCCTCGCTGAGAGAGAGAGTGAAAAAATGAACTGAAAAAAGACAAAGTGAACTAAAGGAGACATCTGCCTACCTCAAGAAACAGCTTTGGGCTTTCAAAGACCTGATGTCCAGCCTCCTCACTGCTGACAATACAGGGCAGCGTGTGCCCTGAGGAAGACTCCACAGACTTGTTTACAGTTTTAATTTCTACCCATCTTCAATTTGAATAAGATTGTTGTTCTTTTTTCTGTTTTTTTTTTTTTCTGTTGAAAGCTGATCTTGAATTCTACACATCACTGCAAGCTCAGCACATTATGAATCCACCAATCTTCAGCTGATTATTAATGTTTTTATCCTTATTGGCACTTATTTCATGTATATATTCCTTTATTATTTAAAAAGAAACCTCACCAGCTTCCAGTAAAGAATGTGAACTCCTCCCACAGACTCAGTATTAAACAGAGAAGCGCTGTTAGATGTCTGGCTGTTCTTTTCTGATGCGTTCTGGGTCCAAAGTAGCAAAAAAGATTTCTTCTTCTTATTTAATCTTATGTATTAGTATTGCTATCCCTACGTTTTTTTCCCCTGTTGAACTTCATGTAATTCATGATTTTAGTACATTTTATTATAAGAATAACCAAAACAAAAAAGGGGAAAAAACAAAAATCTTTTAGTTGTGAAACAACTAAAATTGAAATGAGAAATGTTTGCAGATCCAAACAATAACCTTGAATGCACATGAAAAGTATTAGTTTAACATTGGTGAATAAAACCTTTAGATAAGAAAAATCAGGGTTTATTTGCTGCACCTGATTTTATTTTTTTAGGCCTGATCTGCAATTTTATGCAATTTTTGCATCACATGGCAGAGAAAAGTTGTTTTTCAGATTATTTGATGGTGAAAACGCTTTGGATTAACAGAAATTATAGATTAACAAGATAACGTGCATCTAGAAGCATTTAACCCTTGTTGCTAAGGCGTTTAAGGATAAAATATAAAATAATTTTCAGTTGAATGATCAATACTGTATATTACATTGTTGAAGGAGAATAAGGGACCTTGATTATAGAGTATTAATTTGAAAATTAGTTGACATAAAAAAAACTTTGGATTTCTGGCTGAGACCAAAATATTGGTGTATCATGTCCTGGATTTTTAAACAGTTTATTATTTAGGACCTTTAATAAAAACTAGCCCCACAATATCACAGATAATCTATTGTACCTAACTGACTGACAGTAAAACCAAAAAAAATATTACACGCTTGATTTGATGTACAAATCTAAAAGGAAAAAAGTTGTGTTGCATTTAGAAGTGTTACAGCATTAAGGAGCTCCTGGGATATTCCTCCACCTTTAAAAAGCAACCAGTACAGTAGATCCTTTAACATGCAGCATATAATAGGGAATAAAAACTACATATTCAGTCAGTGAGGAGTACAGGTATGGAAAATGGAATACTATTATAACAAAGCTGACTGAACTGAAAAAAACAACAAAAAAACAAAATAGGCATGTAATGGCTTTGTATATTAAACAGACACAGATAGTTTAAGGGAACAAAAGCGGGACTGCAGGGTACCATATATAGAGATATAATGCATGTTTCCTGCAAGGAGACTTTTACAACCACATGACGTCATTACACAAGGGAACCAGGATCTGCTCAAATGTGAAATGAAAGCATTAATTCCTAACAAATAAGATAAAACTGGATTAAAAGGCTTAATTCCTGTACCTGCTTAGTTAAGAAACAAAGAGCGATATAAAAAGACAGATGCAACACAGAAAAAAATCTCATTAGGAAAATAAGTTTTAATAACTGATCCAACGAACTGCATTATGTAGGACATAAAGAGTTATTATCATAATTTCTCACTCTTTATGTAAACTATGAATTAATTTGGTTCACATAGAGAGAACTGATGGCGTCTAAACCCCAAGGAAACATTTTACTGCTTCAAGTTAAATAAAAGGCATTTAAAAAAAAACTGCTTATCATTAATCATCTTCAGAGCAGTTGCCATGGGCGACGTGCTGTAATTATAATTAGATGATCCGCTCCCACACACACAGGTGCTTCATTCCTCACCTGGCTCTGAGAAGCAGCACATCCAACCCCATGCTTCTGTTACATAAGGTAGACCCAGTGCCCCCCCCCCCCCCATGAATGGGGTCAGTGGGACAGAGGAATAGGGGGGGGGGGGGGGGGACCTACATGCGCCAGAACCTTGATTAATTATGAGGGACAACAGAGAGACAGGACTGTAGATGGAAACAAAAACGAGCTCTTATTGTACAAAAGGAAGGAAATTATGAAAAGAGTGTGGCTTTGCTCTGGAAGAAGACAGGAAAGAGGAAACAGTGTGACTGATGGATATAGGCTTGAGGAGGCTAACAGCTCCAAATACACACGGTGCACAGATAAACACCCAGATGTGGAGTCGTGCTCCTGCTCACTTTACACACCAGTGTCCATTCCAGCAGCTTCCTGTCAGTGCATTAACCTGAATATGAGGAACTGTGGGGCTTTGAATGAGAACAGAAAACATCATAGGGTGTTTACCAAATGCAACATGGAGAAGAAAATAAAATGAGCAAAAGCAATTACAGGGTTTTGTCTTTTTTAATTTTAGTGCTTTAAAATGTGCGCACATTTTTTTTATTGCAATTTGTTTGTAATGCAACAAAGAAAAGCTGATGTGATCCTCGGTTCTCAAATATGAATTGTCTTTGTTGCCTTCAGGACGCCTCCATGTAATATCTCACTGGAGAACAAACCGCTATGCAAATTCTTTTATACTAACAGCTATTTGACTTTTAAATTCTATGTAGGGTGGCTGGTGTGTTTTTCATTTTTTTAAAGATGGCTGCGGTATCTTTTTATTATCTTTCTGTGTTTTTTAAGTTATTATTAATGTTGGTCCTTAAGCTCCCTTTCACATTTCTCTTATTTTCTTTTTTTTTTTTTATCATCTTATTTTTTTATGCTATTACATGTTTATTTTTGTTTGTTTGTCTCATGTACTGCTTAAACGGATTGCCCCTGGTGGGATTAATAAAGTGGTCTAAGTCTAAGACAAAATATTGTTATAACTAGACCTGCACAACAGTTACAGGCTTTTTACATCACTTTTGGTAATTACAAAGTAAGAAGAATCAAGGTGAAGCAGCTCTGTATTAGAGGGCAAAAGCATGGTGGTGGTACTTTTATTTAATAACCTAAAGATCCACCATTTCTAGTGCCAACCTATCCAGTCAGATTTCTGTCAATACATGTGTCTATAGCCCTTATTTAAGAAGTGGATGTTTGAGGATTTCTTTGAACCTACGCACATGGACAAAATTGTTAATATCCCCTTGTTTAATGAGATAACCCACACTGATTACAGACACAACATGGATCTGACAAAAGTAGTGATAAATAAAAATGAACAAATGAAAATCAGGAATGGCTTTTTATTGTTTGTTTTAATTTTATTGCTTTCATGCATCCACAGAATTATATAAAAAAAATGAGATTTCCAGACTATCAAGGGATTTTTGAGAGAAATGTGCTGTCTAGTGTAAGAAAGCTTGGTTCCGGTCTCAGGTCATGGATCTTTAAGGGGATAATGATGCAAAACACACAGCTAGAAACAGCCAGGGGTGGCTAAGAATAAAACATTGGATTATTCTGAAGTGTCATTCTATGAATCTGATGTAAATGCTATTGATCTATTCATCTGGAAAAGATAACCTTCAAATCTGAGACAACTGAATCAGTTTGGTCATGAGGAATGGACCAAAATACCTGCTGAAAGGAGCAGGAATCATTTGATTGCAGTAATTGACTCATAAGGTTGGACAAAGTATTAAGTTAAGCCTGCTATAATTATAGTCCAGGTCTGTTAAATTAATTTCTTAAAATTATTCTGTTGAAAATCAGTGTCTGACTCATTGGTTCATTTTTTATAGAATTTGTATTACTTTTGTCAGATTAAAGTTATTTCTGTGACCTTTTTTTCCCCCTCTCCATACCGTTTATTAAACGAGGGATTATTTTGTCCACGCATGAATGGGGATTTAAGAAAATTGTTTTTAAAAAAATCTAATCAAAACATGAAATTAGTCTTTAATCAAAGTTATTTGTTTAGAATTTTTCCAATAATAATACATTTTAATTAAAAATAAAGTTGGTCTTGTAATAACCATTTCGAGACACAAGAGGGCGCCTTTAAACTCCCTCAGAGGGGAAATCTGATCATGAGCAAACAGAGAGGGTTGAACCAGAAATGCATGAGCAGAGCCTCTGAATTAAGACATTGTTTTCTAATGTAATGAGCAATCTGATGAATTGTGGTAAATGACAAAACAGTCTGACACATATGTGTGACTGAATTGACACATGGCAGCGATGTTGACTATAACACACTTGATGATTACATATCAATCTTTTAGGACTTCCTGTTTAATATTTGCACTGCAGTTTCTGTGAATGTCAAGGTCTGCCTTTATCAAGGGTTTTAACCAAGATCTTCCTAGATGACCTTGTGTGTCTTCTTCTGGCCTGTAGAGGGCAGATGAACACACACACACCTCCACAGGCTCAAACCAAAAGCAAAAAAAATGATAAGCACAACAGTGACTCAGTTCAAGTTTATTCAGCAAATATTTATTCTTTTATAACTTTCTTAACTTTAAAGGTTTTGAATAAGGCTTTCTTCTGACACGCTGTCAATCACTGGGTGTGTCTTTAGAAAGCAAGTCTCACAGTACAGAACTCTTTCATTCATCTTGCAAAATAATAAAAAGGGAAGCTTTTGTAAAGAGGCAAAGTTAACAGTCAAGAAATACAAAAATATAAAGTAATTCTAACAGCTGTTTCAATTCATTTCCTCTTTTCCTCCAGACTATATATCTTTGGATCAACTTATAATAATGACTGTATACTTATAAGACATGTTTACACAGGATTCATAAATCCACATTCAGGCCCATCTCTTCATAAACCCCTTCTGTCTTTAGATCATCCTATCCCCCTTGTTTTCCTCCCCAAATATAAATCTGAATATTTCCCCTTGAACAAAGACAGATCCTCCCACCTCCCCCCCAGAAACACTCCAGTCTCTCTCTGGTGAAGAACACTGCAGCGCTGCCTCGTCCCAGTGTGTCAGGAAGCCTGGGGGAATTGCAGCATGATGGAGGAAGAAGCTGTTCATGCTCGCGGTTGAACTTTTGGCACTGAGAGTCCTGAACATGAGTGTTG